GCGGGCGCGCTTTCTAATGAGTTTTCTCAGTCGGCTCGAATTTCACTCGTACAATGGCAAACGTCACAGCCATTTTCTTTTTCCTTCCTTTTTTTTTTTTTTTTTTTTTTTTTTAATTGCACGCTTTAATTCCTTAATTGCGTGAAAGCATCGGGTTGAAGCGGAACGTTGAAAGATTGACCGATCGCCTCTGAGGAATCGTATACGATTTATCGCTGGAAACCAACGTCTTTCTCTAATTACTGCCTCGAGACAAAAAAATTAGTTACGTTGACCGATGTTTCCGACCAGTTACATAAATTCAAATAAATCGTTGTACCTTAAAATTATTCTATTTCCACGGTTTGTAATAAACGTATATAAATAACTTTTTAACTCTACGATTATGTTTAATTAGTATTCGTTCGTATTTTTTTTTTTTTTTTTTTTTTTTTTTTTTTTACATAAGTTTTTTACATTAATGGAAATTCTAACGCGAATCAATTCCGTTGTCTGTTCTATACACTGTTGTATCGTTTGATAACGAAATTTCCGGGCCGATAATGTTATCGCGAAAATAACATTATATTATTTCGCGAGGAGAAAAATTAAAATAATCGATATGTTAGAACGAATTCTAAATATCTCTCTCTCTCTCTCTCGATTACACAAAATGGGAGAAATTTAATAAACGTGTGCTATCATATTCATACTCCATAGAAACGACATTATACACGTGTACGTGTAGAGCTAATATATCTGGAGCAGACATCGAGTTAGATTTAACGATGATTTTCCACGAGCAAAGCCGACCATTCCGAATTTCGTTCGAGTCGACAACTACGAACGTTCTCGTGGTTGTTACGGAGCACGGATTCAAAGAAGGAACCCCTCCCCCGACGGTGCCTCGTAGTCGCGTATTTCACCGTCAATTAAACGCGCACTATATGCAGTAACGCACATCTTGCGCGTGTAGAAGAGAACCTAACCTAACCACCGGCGCAACGCGAAAGAGTTACGTTCATTAGCGAGGCTACTCTGCTTCATATAGCGATTTTATCAGATTTTCTGTCCCGGTTGTATCCTTCCACCTCCTGACGCCTCGCTCGTTCGAGCGCACAGCCCTTGTCGTCGTTCGAAGCCACGGAAATTGCACGGTCTTGAAGGTGGATCTTGAAAAACAGCCTCGGCCATTTCGTACGAGTTATGGGACTATGCCTATGCTGCCACCTGTATGCGATACCGATGTTCGATACGCCAGTATCGTTCCTGTCTCGTATATATCTTTTCAACTTTACATTCTTTCCTCGTTGTAATCCGTAGTTTAAGCCTGAAAGCGATATATTTTTTTTTCGAGAGATACAACGATGAATTTGACTTTTAGAAATACGTAAAAATATAATGTTTCTACTTACTTTGTTAATTGATCGAAATATTTTGTGTCGCCTGTCTAACCGACAATCAACGCGTTGGCTCTAGTTCCCATCGATATTCAACCTGTTCTATTCTCTTTTCGCAACCACGACCATTGTTTATGATCCAAAAATACAAGGGACTCGCGCACGCCAGTACATTAGAGCCTATTCTTTATCGTCCCTGATTTCTATCGATTCCACAGACACGTGTACTTTCCACGGGTCAAGCAACAATCGCGATTGGCGTAAGAAGTCTCGTTGTCGAGAACACAAATCGAGAACACAAAGCGGTCTCGTAACAATCGTTTCGTTACTTAAGCCATACATACATACATATATATATATACACAGGTGACAGGTTCCCACGAAATCCTTCCAAATTTTGTAATCTACCATTGTCGATATATTCACCTCTAAAACCTCTCTCATCTAACCTTAAATAAATGTCAAGATATACACTTACGGGTATTCTTTGCCAAGTATAATTACCACGGGATATTTTTTACCGCGTAAAAATGCAATATGGATTTCTTATCCGGCTTGGCCATTGTCCTTACGAACTCGATTGTTCTTTCTTTCGACGATTCATACGAGCCGGTCTTTGATGCCTTGGCGCGATCTGAACGAACGAACCGTGACGTTTCATCATCCGGGAGAAACGATGGTGGAAAGACTGCGTGCGCAACGGAAACGACCTAGCGACACCTAGATTATTCTTTGTCTAATTGGCACGAAAAATTATCGTTCAACCGTGTATATTATTGAATTAATCGTTTTGAAAAATTCTATCGCGTATAAAAAGGAACAATCTCGTATATTTAATTGAATATTATACACGGCGTGTTTAATATAATTTCCACTTCGAACGTTTAACAACGGGTGAAAATATCGATTACGAAATTGCAATAATTACGATATCGGTCGATAATGAGGCGACACGATCCGAAGATCAATTCTTTTTTTCATGTTATCTATGCAGATTGATAATATATTCACGCGTTACTAGCAGACGTTATGAATATACATGAGATTTAAGGGGAAAAATATTAACGCAGGAACTCGATGGTAATTCGATTCGATAAATCTTTGTACGTAATACAACGTCACAAAGTGTGGTTATTCTTGCTGCAGTGCGTTAATCAGTATTCCGTTCGATAACGATAATGTCAATTTCATCAGCTCGAACCACAAAAAGTCCGCTCGGAGGAAAAAGAAGTAAAGCAATAATAACCTCGATTCTTTTTTATCTCGATGAAGTTTTTCTGTCGGTAACCGAACTGAAAACACGTTTTTCACCGATCCGTTCGTTATTACGAGATTCTTCCACGGCACATATCTCGTTCTAGGAGACGTGAAACTTGAACTACACGCATACACGCGCGCGCACACACACACACACACAAAGAAAAGAAAAAAAAAGTTCACTCGAAAATCACGCAGTTTTATAATTTATCTATATTAGAACGTAATACGAATTTTCGATAATTCAACGGATAACATCGTTTCACCGTATTTTTGTTTTTCTCTTCTAAGTATCCAAGAGGAATTTCGAGAATTTGAAAACGACAAACCTAAGGCTCGCAAGAGTGGAGAGAATCGAATTCCTATCCGCTAATCTCAGCCTCGCAACCGTTCGATCCTTTCGTTAAGAGGCATGTCGCACACGAAAATGTCGTATGAACACGTACACGTAGAGAAGGTTGGTTGGCATAAGTCGAAGCCTGTTGGCACGGATTCAAACGCCGCTACGGAACACACTCGTGGACGGGACGTGTGTACACGTCGCGTTTCGATTCTTCCACAGATGCACGGGGCCCGAACCACGGCTGTCGTCATTGTCCCCGTAACGTTTCCACCCACCGCCGACGTTGTCGATTTCTTGAAACATTTCCCGTCGACCAATATTCCCGCAATAACCGCAACATCGGTTTCTTGGATCGTCGTCTACATTCCGACCTTAATGACCAATTAATCTTTCCTTCTCGTGCGTGGACGACCGCATACGTTTCTTCTATTAATGGGATAAAAATACGAAGGGAGGGAAGGAAGTTCTCTCTCGTATCGACCGAGCTTCGATCGAGAGAAAAAATTCCTCCTCCTAGAAATTTTTCCGAAAATTAAATCCTCATTCCTAATAATGATCCTCTTGAAATAGTACGTGATAAAAATTCGATCGATATCAACCACCACCTCCTCCTCCTCCTCCTCCTCCTCCTCTGTTCGAGATTAAATTCGTCTAGACTTAAAAGCGTGAGAAGGGAGACAAAAGGAGCTGGTGGATTCGAGGAGCTGGATAGAAAATAGAGTATTTAAAATACAACACTAGTCACTAGAGCAACAGTCTATTTATGCAACAGTCTGATGTCAAAGTGAAAACGGACAAGCAACAGAAACGATTCGCAAAGTTCAAACTCCTCGCCGACTGATCGTCCTCGCGACGTTACGTTTATATATACATGCGTATATTTTTTTCTTTTTTTTTCCCCCCTCCCCATAACATTCCTCCCTTTCATCTTCTGAAATTAATTAAAAAAAAAATCTTCCATCCTCTCACGTTATTCCACCCCTCCCCCTTGAAGACACGCGGCAACGAGTAACCTATCCCGTTGTATTTTTCGAGAGGGCGTGCGCGTCGATCCGTGGCGAGAATGTTTGGCAGAGTAGGAGGGAGGGGGAGGGGAGGGGAGGGGAGGGAAAGGCAGCCGAAGCAATCAAAGACATGATCGATGGCTCATTCGTCTGAATCTTACGGCTGATTGGTCAATTAGACAGGAAACACGTAGGAGAAGTACACTTGGCTACGTGTAAGGGAGGAAAAGGATATTTTAATTATCGTCACGGGTTTACGCTCTGCTTTCGGGTTCGGTGTTATTGATTTTGCGTTGTATTAATTGCTCCCACGTTCGATCGAACGTGGAATCAGAACCCCTCTTTTCCCCGCCCCCCCCCCTCCTTCTCCTGTTTGGATCTGATTAGGTTCGAGGGGGCCGCTTCCTTACCGAACGCTTCGTCCGTTGAACGGGTGAAATTGAAAGGCGCTCTCGGAACGTTAGCCGAGATAATGTCTCTCCCAAGTGTGTTCCCCTCTCGTCGTGAAAATTTAGAGAAACTCGTTATATTTCACGAAGGGGCAGAAAAGGAAAATTACACCTATTTCAATATAGCCATCGCTCGAACGAGATATATATATATAAATAAAAAAAAAAAAAATAAGTTGTGTCTGTACGTCCAGAGTCAGAGTGAATGAATAAATAAATAAAGTTAAAAAAAAAAAGAGATACAAAAATTCTAACCTCTTCAGAGACACTTGTGATACTTTCGAACGAACGATGAAGTAAAACGTAATATTGTGTAACGATAGAAAAGTTAGTACATTCGTTATCTCTGAAGAAAAAAATTCGTTGAAACGAGATATTCTAACCACGTGTAACCACGTGAGAAGAACAATTCGACTCTGGAGGAACAGCACAGATATGGAAGGAACAGTCAGCCGCTTTTCCCCTTCCCCCTTATACATCTTATATATAATCTAATGCATATTTTCTATACATACCTATAAGACAAAAACCGAGTAAGAACGCACCACAAGTTGTGCCTCACCCGTAGAGTATGTTTCAGGCAAGGAGCAGGGAATGCCAGCGTTCGCGCGTGGCCCACAGGAAGGTGGCCCACCTGAGATGAGTGACGAGAGGTTGGCGCACATTCTCTCGGAATCGGGCCACTTACAAATGAGAAGTGAGCACGAGGTGTCGAACGACGCGGACAGCAAAAGTCCGAATAGAATCGGTTGTCCGAGCCCCTTTAACAAAGAGAGGCTCGACAGTCAAAATAGGAGACTGAAGAAATACGAGAACGACGACATTCCGCAAGAGCAGGTAGTCAGGATTTATCAGGAGGAGCTGGCCAAAATAATGGGGAGAAAGGTGGAGGATACGCGTGGACCCAGAGAGTTTTCTTCCAGGTGAGGCTCGTGCAAAATAACCTGTAAACTGTCGAGTCGCGCTTTAGAGGCCCTCTGGTGGGTCCGCCATGAAATCACGTTGATCAAAGATGGATGCCACCTCGTGACTGATCGAGTCGTTGACTTTTCCAAACACTTTTCCGAAGTGAAATATATCGTGCTCGTTGGCTGACACCGTTGGTTTTTTTTTTTTTTTTTTTTGTTTTGATTGACGCGTTGGCAAGATTTGAAGGATGAAAGGATTTAGGGATCGAGTTGGAATTGAGATTGACGATGATTCGTGATGATCGGATCAAAATTGAAAATTCCATCCGCTTGTGAAATCATCGTATTGTAAATTTAAATTGTCTATTAAAAAGCTTGGCAGTAGACGCGTCTCTTACGAGCGTGCATCAATTTTAGTGTTATTAAATTAATGTTCAGGGTCTTTCTATCGGTTTAATCGTACACGATACTTTTGAAGCAGTGATTGTCGAGTAGAGCAAAATATATATTTCGAGTCGGTGTTTCGAGTTTTTCGACAAGTTTTAATGTCTTTTTTCTCTTTCTCTTTTTCTCTGCCTTTTTTAGAATAATTTTAATTTAAATTAAACGCGCGTATACGTGTCGGAAGGAAAAGAAAAAGGGGAAAAAATTATTAGATTAATTATCTCGAATTGATCGTCAAAAGCACGCGTAAATTTTCGTCTCGATCGAAAACTCCGGTTTAATTCCGTTTCGTCACGGTCGTGCATTCGATAAATATTGTCTGTCGCGCAGAAAGAAAATTTATCGGCACGATTCAGAAAGAGATCTCTCGCGGCGAGACACGAAAAGATCACTCGCGGTATCGTCGTATTTTAATAGTTTATCCCTCCCTTCCCAAAACGTAAATATTCATCGTGCCAAGAGTATGGGCTCTCCTGCATCATCGAGTTACTGTCGCGTCGGCGTAAACGAATCCTTTTTATATTAATCGAGAAGGACAGAGACGAGAGACGAAACGCGTTTGCGCGGAGTAGAAAATTTGTAAATCAACAAAGCGAGACGTGCTCTGTTAAAAAAAAAAAAAAAAAAAAGAAGAAAAAAAAGAATTAAGCACGTTAAAGACTGGTCGATACACAACACGGTTCAGAGGCGTCTCTCTCTCTCTCTCTCTCTGGATCCTGAACCGGTAGCGCATCCCATAGATCATGTGAGTCACGATGGATCGCGGCCGCGCTCGACACGCGGAGAGAACTATGCCGAACGACGAAGTGACGTGCGCGGCTAAAATTAATATGCCGCTATATCTGTTTCGTTACTTAACACACGAAAATGTCAGGTGTAAACACGGGCTTTTTTTGGCGGAAAGCTCGTATTACATCCTCGCTCTCCCCATTGTAATCACACTGGAGGGAGGAGAGGATCTCGATTACGATTGATCATTATTGAGGACAGCAAGTGACCTCGATTAATAGTGGCGGGATGTTCACGCACTTTTTCAGCGGCACGCAGGAGGATTTCCGGCTGGCACTTGGCGCGTACCACCGTGAAATGCAGAAACTGAACGCCACACCGGGTCAGAGCCCTTCGCTGAGCGGACTGCCGGGATTGGCCGGGCTGCCCGGCCTGCTGGCGCTTCAGCAGCAAGCGCTTCAGCAGCACCACCTGGCGACGAACGGCGGCGGTGTCCAAGACCTGAGCCTGGGCAAGGTGCAAGATCCGAGGGGCAAGATGATAAACGGTGTCACGGAGGAGGAGAAAGAGAAGATGGAGGAAGCGATGAGACACGCCGGTAGCGCTTTCTCGTTGGTCAGGCCGAAACAGGAAGCGTCCACGGCGCCACAGTCGACGCCTGGTGGATCCAGCGCGAGTTCGCCGCTCGGCAACTCGATACTTCCACCGGCGATGACACCTAGCGAGGAGTTCTCGGGTGCAGCGGCGGCTAGCCCTCTACAGAGGATGGCCTCCATCACGAATAGTCTGATCAGTCAACCGTCCACGCCTACCCACCACACGGCCAACCAGAGGCCGCTGAAAGCGGTACTTCCACCCATCACTCAACAACAGTTCGACCTGTACAATAACTTGAACACGGAGGATATAGTAAAGAGAGTAAGTGGCGGCGCGACTGTCGCTTCGACTTAACCTATCCTTCCTTCGCGTCGAGATCGCGCGTTACTTTCCTTCTTTTTTCCCTCGCGGCAACATATTATTCTTCTCGAAACGAACGAATCGAATGTTTTCGCAGGTGAAGGAACAGTTGTCCCAGTATTCCATCTCCCAACGCCTGTTCGGCGAATCCGTGCTGGGCTTGTCCCAAGGATCCGTTTCCGACCTGTTGGCGCGTCCCAAACCGTGGCACATGCTGACGCAGAAAGGCCGCGAGCCGTTCATCAGGATGAAGATGTTCCTCGAGGACGACAACGCGGTTCACAAACTGGTTGCCAGCCAATACAAGATCGCCCCTGAGAAGCTGATGAGGACCGGCGGCTACGGTGGCCTGCCTCGTAAGTTTAACTCAGGTCAATATAGATGTTTTGTTATTTTACTAAAAAAAGAGAAACACGACATAATTTGACAGCTCTTATCTTACATCACGCGTGTCCGTTGTGCGAGTGAATGAAAGCGATGAGCGAGTGTTCGATCGAGGGAGGAAGAGAGAGCGAGCTTTCGAACCGTACGAATCTTTCTCACTGGAAGTTCTCTCCCCCCTTTCCTTTACAGCCTGCGGAACACCGATGAAGCCCATGCCTCCCACGAAACTGGTCCAGGAACAGCTTCAAAACGCGGCGAAGGCGCAGGCGGCGGCGGCGCAAGCGGCCGCCCAGGCGGCGGCGGCGGCCCAGCACCAGCAGGAGAGCCAGGCGGCGGCGATGCAGCTCGGCCCCCCTCAGCAGAGTCCCCAACACCCGCAGCATCCTCAGCCGCCTCCGCCGATGATGCTGACCCCGCCGGGCCCCACCACCCCCACGCCTCAGCTCAGCATGCAGGAGCTGCAGAAGAAGCAACAGCAGCAGCAGCAGCAGCAGCAGCAGCAGCAGCAGCAGATGAACCTCCACTCGCCCCACCACCAGATGACACCCTCGCCCCTCCGCGGCCTCCACCCGCACATCTCGCCCAGCGTGTACGAGATGGCCGCGCTGACCCAGGACCTCGACACGCAGACGATCACGACGAAGATAAAGGAGGCGTTGCTCGCGAACAACATAGGGCAGAAGATATTCGGCGAGGCTGTCCTCGGGTTGTCGCAGGGGTCCGTGAGCGAGTTGCTGAGCAAACCGAAGCCGTGGCACATGCTGAGCATAAAGGGACGGGAACCGTTCATCAGGATGCAATTATGGTTATCCGACGCTCACAACGTCGACCGGTTACAGGCGCTGAAGAACGAGCGCAGGGAGGCGAACAAGAGGCGGCGCAGCAGCGGCCCAGGCCACGACAACAGCTCGGACACGTCGAGCAACGACACGGCCGAGTTCTACCACGCGGCGTCCCCAGGCCCGGGCCCCGCCTCCGCCAAGAAGCAACGGGTCCTCTTCTCCGAGGAGCAAAAGGAGGCCCTGAGGCTGGCGTTCGCCCTCGACCCTTACCCCAACGTGGCCACGATCGAGTTCCTCGCCGGCGAGCTAGCCCTCTCCTCGAGGACGATAACCAACTGGTTTCACAATCATCGGATGAGGCTGAAACAGCAGACGCCCCACGGCCAGCCCGAGCCCCAGTCGCCCAGGGAGCCCGGCCAGCCGTTCGACCCTGTCCAGTTCAGAGTATTATTAAACCAAAGACTGTTCGAGATCCAGAAGGAGAGGCTGGGCCTGGGCAACGTGCCCCTGCCCTACACCCCCTACTTCAACCCGAACCTGGCCGCCTTGGTGGGGAACGCGTTGAAGGAGCAATGCTCGGGCCTCGACCTCTCCATGAACGCTTTGAAGAGGGAGCCGAACCAAGAGTTCGAGGACGAGGACGCGGAGGACGCGATGAGCAACCTCGGGAGCGAGGACTCGGAGGGGTCGGCGGGCAGCATAAAGCGGGAGCCGGCCGAGACGCCCACCGCGCCCACCACGGTCAGATCGAACAGGAGGAAACCGGCTGCCCCCCAATGGGTGAACCCCGAGTGGCAGGAGCCTGCCAGGGGGGCGGGGGACGAGGTGATCATAAACGGGGTGTGCGTGATGCAGACCGACGATTACGGGGTGAAGAGGGAGGCGGAGGAGACGATCAGGGTGGAGCCGACCCCGGTCCAGGACAGATACGAGGAGGACGCGCAGAGCGACGTGTCCTCCGTCTCTGGAAACAACGGCCAGGACCGGGACAGCCCTTTGCCAAGCCCCAAGTCGGCCCAGAACAGCCCGGCCGCGTCCCCGAGGCCGCCCTCCGCTCACCAGACCCAGCAGTCCACCGGGGAGGGGAGTCCCAAGGAGAGCGTGGTGAAACACGAGCCGGAAGAGACGTGGGATTATTAAAGGACCGGCGGGTTCGGGTCTTTGTGTACGCTGTTTTCGTGATATCCGTTTCCGTGACGATTCGAACACGGTGTTTCGAGCCGGGTGAGCGAGAGCGAGAGAGAAAAACATGCCAAAATAAATGCGAGTGTGCAGTCCCGTTCTAGCGTGGACTACGGCCTAGTTAAGTTCGTAGAGAGAGGGGGGGGGAGGGGGAGAGAGGAGGGGGAAGAAGAAAACCAGTCATAGGATTCGGCCAGACCTGGTTGGTCGATTCCTGCCTACCACGAGGGCATTATCAATAGGGAGGCAAATACAAAGTTAGGATAACGTGAAACAAAATGAGTAAGAAAAAGAGAGAGAAAAAGATAAGGGATAATGAATAAAAAGACACGTCAGTGGAGTATTTTGGAGAAAAGATGCCCGGAAAAAAAGACTTTCCGGGTGACTGACTCTGCGTCGAACGGAGTCAGAGACACGCCGCTTATCAAAGAAGACGGAGCTCAATCAAAAAAAAAGGAAGAAAAAAAAAAAAAAAAAAAAAGAAAAGAAAAAGAAAAAGGAAAAAAAAAGGAACTCTTTTTCTCGTAACAACGGCGATTCTGCGTATCTGCGCGAGTTGACGATGGGTCAAGAAATGGTGTTGTGATGGTGTGATGCACAGTTGCTACGTTCGGCGTGATTCGTAATTGTTAGAAAGAAGACTGTGAGACGCGACGAGACAGAGCCTGGGAGGAGGGAGGGGTATGGGGGGAGGGGAGGGGGGGGCGAAAGATAATAAAAAATAAAAACGAAAAGGCGTTCGTCGCACATTCGCTCGAAAAAATCCGAGAGAAAACCCTGGCCGCTTCCGTTTTTTTCCTTCGGTGGAACTGTTGGAGAGGGGGGTTGGAGGGGTCGAAAGGTAGATAAGGGATAAAAAATATCGCGCGGAGGAGAGAAGGAAAGGAAAAAAAAAAGAAAAAGAAAAGAAAAAAGCGATGATCGATCAGTGAACGGAAATGGTCCGGGTTCGATAGAGTGCAATCTACGAGTAAAACCAGAGAATTGTTAGATCGAATTATTATTAATTTTATCTAATTATGCGGCGAAGATGAGCGATTAATAATTATTGCATAATTGTGATTCATGTTATATTGTTTATACACTTCTCCTATCCCATAGTCATTAAGCTGTTAATGTTATTACACTCCGCTCTCCGACTACGTACCTTTTTTTTGTCTGTTCGGTTATTATATAATAGGGCGCGTCGTCTTTCGTAAAGAAGGAAAAAAGGAAAAAAAAAAAGAAAAAAAAAATAAACAAACAAAGTGAACGATTAGGAAAGGAAAATTGTGTCCTCTCGATATCTTCATCCTGCTGCTTGCTTGTCTGTCTCACTTACGAAGGAGCAAGCATTGATCATCGAGGAACTTCGGTTGGTATTGTTATCTTGCTCTTATCTTTCTCTCCTATTCTTTCCTTTTCGTCGTAACTCGTAGTTCGTGGTTTCCGTTTGCTGTTCTTCCGTTCTATGGACAAGCAACGCAGGATCAAAGGGAAAAAAAAAATCTGTCCACTTACGAATATAGTTCTTTTTTTTTTTTTCTATTTCTCTGTAGAGAGAGAGAGAGAGAGAGCGAGCGAGCAAGAGAGAATGAGAAGAGAGAAGAAGTGAGAGATACGAAAACGATCGGTGATCGAGGTTATCAGTTACTACCAATATTACCGTATTATTAGGCTTACGTTATCACTGCTATTTTATTATTATTACGATTATTATTATTAATATTATTATTATTATTATTATTGATCATATTGTATTATTTTATTACCATTCGAATTTTAATCGCGATAATGACACGGCTTTTAAAGCCAATGTGATAGAGCTTATATGCGTTGATAGAGAGAGAGAGAGAAAGAGAGAGAGAGAGAGAGAGAGAGAGAGACGAAGAATAGAAGAGAGAGAGAGAGTATGTGTGTGAGAAGAAGAAGAGA